TCCTCCTCCTCGCTCCTCCTCGCACCTCCGAAAGGGGGTCTGCCCGTCGTGCCACAGATCACAGGACGAAGCCAGGACGATGATAGAATCGGGTGGTGATGAACCGGAAAATCTCTCAGATCCGGCGGTTTTGGGGGATGTCTCGGGCGCCGCGGCCCCCCCAAAGCGTTCCAGAACGCTTTGGAAGCGTCCCGGAACGCCGTGGGGCGGACTTGTTATCGTCCTGTGGCCCCGTCCGAATTCGGGCCTCTGGCTGCCGATCGGGACGACGAGGGCGCCCCAGGACAGCCCTGGGTCAGGCGCAGCTGCTGGAAGGTGGGTACCATGAGGCACCGAGGCAAGACAAGGCTTCGGGAATCGACGAGCTCGATCGGAAACGTCCCGCCGAGACGAGTCGGACCCCCCCCCCCAAAGACGCGCACCAAAACAACAGTCACTCCGACGTGGGGTCATTTTCTCACGCGTACGTAGCTGACGCAGAGGCCACGATTGGGGCGAATAGCCTTGGAGGGGAACAGTACATGCATCCAGGGGCGCCGATGATCTGCGTCTTCGGCGTGGTTCCCCGGCGAATGCGTGTGATCCCTCCCCTGGGCCATTCGCCCGGATCGTCGCCGCCGACTGACCTGCAAGACAAGGAGGGCCCCGGCGCGGGGCGCACGAACATCATCGCGAGAATGAGGAACTGGCAGAAGAGCCTGGGGGCGCCCAAGTCTCGACCGCCGGTCCACATCCGCCCCGACGAAGCCAAGGCAAAACATGCACGACAGGAACCACCGGGTGTGAATTCCACCGACTGCCGCGAGCTGGCGGTGCGCACAAGGGGGTGGAGGGAGGGGGGGGGGTCCTTAGAAGGAGGCTGCCTCTTAGAAGGCGCCGGCGTTACACCTACATAAGGCCCGCGCCTTCTAAGAAGCAAGGGTGCTTTTAAGAATCCCCCCCTCCCCAAAACCACTCCGCGCGTGGCTGACGAAACTAACAAACGCAATGTAGCGCAGACGGGGGCGTCTCCCTTTGAAGGGACGCGTGACGCGCGTGCTGCACACTCCCTGCTAGAATGTGCGACGTGAGTAAGCGGACGGGTAAGCTGGGAGGGCGAGGTGATCGCGATGGTGCTGACCATGCTGATGGTGATGAAGCAGTTGGGCCGATGATGATGGTGATGATGATGCTAACAATGATGATGGTGATGATGCTGATGATGATGATGATGCTGATGATCCCCGCGTCTGAAGGGGTCCGGAGCTCCTGGTTCGAACTGTCCCTCGGACCGAGGCGTTTCCCGATGGCCCTGCGGAGGCAACGCTCGGTCTCGTGCGCTTCAGCGCAAACGCAGATCGCCCAAGTGCCGTGAGCAATCGACCGCCTCAGTCGAGGAAAGCGGGCGACCGATCCAAGCAGTCGAAGCGACTCAGCACGCTCGGCAGCTGGCGGAGGCCACGCTGGCGGTCTAGCAGGCTGGTACACAGCTGGGTTGTACGCCGCACCTGAGAAACAACTAGGTCGATCGGACCAGGCCACTGTTGACCGACGTTGCTCCTCAGGCCTGCGGAAATCGAACCAGAGCGTGGGCGAACCTACGCTCTCGGGTCGCCCTCCACGTCAAATGACGGGCAGGGCACTGGCGCGGTAGCGCCAGAAGCTACATTGCGCAGGAGGCGTGCGTACACGCCGAAAAAAATGAACCTCACATAAGGGTATCGGGACCATCGCCCCGACCCAACCCAACGCGCATCTCCCGCGCGCGCTGTGGGTCGCGCCTGATGCGGCTGATTCGGTGCCCTTGGGCCAATGCGCGTGGCTGGCCAGCAAGCAGATGCAGGGGTTGGGAGGGGAACGTGGCAGCGGCCAAAGCGGCCTGGCAAGCCCAGGCCACCTCCGTGCCGCTTCCTTCCCCCCAATGGACAAGTGCACCACCTCCCGACTGGCGGAACTCAAAGGCCCGAGTTCCAGGGCTGGCTGCGAGACACCAGCACCGCCAGAGGTCGGCAGCGGCAGTGCGACAGTACCACCCGTCTGGCGAAACCCCACGGCCCGAGTTCCAGGGCTGGCTGCGATGCACCAGCACCGCCAGGCAGGACGAAACTGACAGTGAAGGAGGCAGGAGAAAAGGGCACGGAGCGTGCCGCAAAAGACAGGTCAGGTGCAGCACTGCAGGGCCCATCAGCAGAGCAACGTGTCCCTTCGGCCCCAGGCCACACACTGGACTATTGCATTGCCAATGGGCGGAGCCCGATCCCGTGCGCGGGCGGACCTACGCACCTGGGTCAGCCTCCTCTGAAGCTTGCTGCACGGCAGCCGCAGCTGCTAAAAAGGACAGCACCGAGCACAGAGCCATGCTGCAAAAGAGTCGGAGCCCGATCCCGTGCGTGGGCGGACCTACACACCTGGTTCAGCTTCCGTCGCTAGAGCGGCAACTGCACGCGCGCGCACCGAGCGTAGGTCATGCCCGCGGTGAGAGACCGCCGAAGGCAGCGACTGGCGACCTGAACGTCAGCAGCGCAAGTGTCCTCCAGGCACCTGGCCCCGCACGGGACTTGTTGCATTGCCGACGGTATCGGGCCCGATCCCGTGCGTGAGCGGACCTACGCACATGGTTCAGGCCCGAACTGGGCAAGAGAGGCTCGCCGTCCACTCGCCTGCGAAGGCGTCGCAGGAGCTCAGGGTCGCCGATGCCGCCCTTCCCTTCTGGCTGCAGCCCTCGCTTGAGGCGGCCGAACACCGCCTTCTGCACGCCATAGCTCGTGGGAGACGTGCGGATCGAGCCCCCGCCACGGTGGAAGCGCGGGTGGGGGCGGTGGCAGCGGCTGCGCCACAGGTGTTGCCACCCGTTGCTCGTGAGCTGCAGCGGCCGCGCCGCCGCTGCCAGACGAAGCCCCGCCACCTCCACCGTCACGCTGATCCCCGTCATCTGCTGCTGCTGCTGCTGCGCTCTGCGAGCCGCTGGCCCGGCTGGAAAACAAAGCCGCGCTAGTTGTGAGGGGGGCCGCGGCCGCGTCGACAGCGCCCGAGGCTCCCTCTGTGCCCGAAAGCAACGAGCCCGAGATCGCCTCGCCCCGACCAGAGCATACCTGGCAGGCCCAGAGCGTGTCGCTGCCGACCTCGAGCCATGTCCCGTGTCTTCCCCACGTCCTCCGCGCTCCTGCAGGATCCTGCGCGCTGTAGCCTGGGACATTGCACCCCTGGGTCCGAAGGATCCCGCAAGATCCGGCACTCTGGCTGACGTCCGATTGGGTCGATCCCCGCGTGATCAGAACCACTGGGTCGCCGACGTCGTCGGCGAGGCAGCCATTCCTATGCCCCAAACCCTTGCGCTGACATGCTTTCGGCGGGCCGACGATCGAAGCCCCGAACGGGTCCATTGGCGTCACCATGTCCCTTGGTGCTTCCGCGTCGAAAAAATTCAACCTGGAACGCCTTCGCCAGCGTCGCCGGCGCGCCTTCGCCGCATGAGCCTACCGTGCGCCCAGCGGCCTGCCTGAGCAAGAGGGGAGAGGTGCTGGCTCGAGGGGCGGGACATTGCCCTGGAACCGCGAGATGCGAGAGCGTCAGGACCAGAAACTGCTGGAGCTCCGCGCGGAATTCTTGGATCGGCGCTGGCCCCTCCCCGGCGGCGCCTCCCAAGAACGCGAATACGCTCCCACAAATCCACGCGGCGCTCCAAACGCTCATGTCTGCGAAGGTCTCTGTTCTTCGAGAAGATGCAGCGCCGATAGCTCGCTTGCGGGGCCCAGGCCCCGATTGGCGGTGAACGTGCAATTGAGGTCAATGGGTTCCCCCCTCAGCCGATGCCCCCTCCGTTGCTTCTGAGGAGGGAGCGAGGGCTAGACACGAAGAGAGAACTCAGGAGGGAAGGGGGGGGAGAAGGCCAGGATGAGAAGAGGGAAGGGGACAGAGGATGAGGGAGAGGGGGATGACAGGAAAGTCGGTCATCGAGGTCTTCGGCGGCCTTCATGCTTTCCTTGTCTCTTTCGGGTCTCCAATGGCCTACGGAGCCATGCGAGGGGTCGAACTGGAACGACGCCGTCAGCAGAGGGAGGAGGAGAAGAGAGCAGGATGAGGATGAAGGGGAGCATGGAAGGCCCCATGAGGAAAAGGAGAAGGGGGAGGGGGGGAAGCAGGACGAGGGGGAGGAGGAGGAGGAGGAGGAGGAGGAGGACAAGGAGGAGGAGGAAAAGGAGGAGGAGGAGGAGGAGGAGGAGGAGGAGGAGAGAGTAGGAGGAGGATGAGGCCCCTAAACCGGCGACTACAGGTCGCTCCCGCAGGTAATTGATTATTCGGGCAGGGTTTGCGTGCATTGGCCTGGACACCGTGCTGGAAAACATCGAGGAAGGGCCTGGGGAGGGCCCAATGAAGGGGGGACTGGGCGAGGCGGGTTTGTCGTGAAAGCCAACCTCCAGACCAGAAATCGTGACGCCCCGGGTGCACCCGGAGGACCGAGGACTGTGCAGTCGTGAGCTGTCGGAGGTCCGCGCGGATGTCTTGGTTCTGTGCTGGCTCCTCCCACACTGCGAGGCGGAAGTTTGTCCGTAACCGCCGCCTGGCGGATCGATCTTCGGGAGCTCAGGCAGGCGGGAAGTGTGGAGATGTGTGGGCCCCCCAGGGCCCGAACGTAGACATCCATGGCCACCTTCTGCCGAGGTCCCCCGCGATCGATTCCCCGGGCGCTGTTCCTGTACAACACCCCGCCCAAGACAACCCCTCCCCCGGAGCGCAAGTGGGCGGCGCCGGGGGGGCGCCAAGGGGGCGCGTGGGAACTGGTCAGCACATGACGGGCAGCAAGTGCAACAAAAGGCACTGGCAAAAACAAGCTCACCGACTGTCCTATGCTGACTGGAACTGGCGCCCATGGGATCACATGGAATCGCGGGAGCTGTGTCCATGAGATCGCGCAAACGGGCATGCTAAAACTGGGCAGCAAGTTTGAGGCAACCAACTGAGAGCAACAAACTTCGGCACTAGTTTGTGATGACTCGTTGGCGCGTCTTTGAGGCACGGGGGCGGGGGCTCCAACACTGGCCAGATTGCGGTGGCGTCTGCGACTCCATTCTGCGAAGGATCAGCCGCCTGGGGCACACCCTGGCGGTCATGCTGCTTTTTTCCAGCAGGGCGAAATCTATGCCGACCAACCCTAGCTGGCGTGTGAGTTCCTGCGGGATAGGAGAAAGGCTGCGTGGGGGCTGGTCTTTCCCCGGTGCCTCAGATCATTTGGCCAGACGCTCTGCCGACGCAGCGCAGGCTCAAACAGCCCGTCCGCCCCGGAAGCCGGCATTCCAAGCAACAGGCTCCATCAGCGGCGATGGAATGCGGATGAAGCTGGCCTGCGCGACGTTGCGGCTGCTGATCGACGGTGCCGCTCGGCCGCGCAGCAGCTGGCGCTCCTACCCACCAGAGGGGTCGGAAAAACAGCGGGTCTCTGCCTGTGATCAGCACATCATGGACCGACCGTGACGGCTTCCAGCTGGCGTGCTCGGTTCTGATAAATGAAATATGTGAGGGGACCGATACCCTTAGATGGGGGAAATCTGGTACCCCGAAATACTGACACACCAGACGGGGTACTAGGAACAGGGGTTGCCTAGCCGCCAACGCAACAAAAATCAGAGCACATATCGTGCACACCACCAGCGTTTCTCAGATCAGAATGTGGTGTGCCTACCGGAAAGCCAGGACACTTCGCCACTGGTTGACACGAGCA